TTTCCCCAGGTCTTCAAGTTAGCAGGAGTGGGAAGGGCGTCTGCAAGGCCTCTTAGGAGAAAGCTAAGTCGTCCCTGATCTGTGGTCCATAGGTCTTTCCAGGACAGGTGTCTGTCAAGAGCAGATTCCCATTGGGTCCATCTGCCTTGCTTTACTAGGGTAACTGCCTTGACTCTTCGACTCTGCTCTTCTCCCTTTCTCACTTGTTGAACAATCCTATCACGCCTGGCTTTGGGGTCAGTCTCACTCCACTGTTGGGGGTCATAATTGCCTAGTCCGAGCCGTCCTTTGCAGGTAACACCAACAATGGCCTGATGTACAAGGATTTACATGACACCCTTGTGGGTGTATACAGTAAGAATATGTTGTTTGAATAGTAGGTATATGCTAATCAGCTGACCTAATGATGAACCTTAACTAAGACTAACTAGTACAAATCAAAAGAGGGCATCACAATAAATTTAAGTGTTGCTTGATATACTCAAAACACCTAACTACAACTGACTTCCAACATGGCAACATGTTCACAGTTGAGTAAATACAACGATTCATTAAAAATATCAAAATTAAATCTTGAATTCATAAAAGACAATCAAAAGTAGTTCTAGTAATACATACAAACAAAGTATTACTCATCTGTATATTTGGAAATTATATACTTTTTAAAATCATTCCTAAGTTTGCATGATATTCCAGAGTGTCTGGGCTTGGTCCATAATTGGTTTCTTAGCTATTTCTGAATTATATTTATTTAAAACTAGCATTTCTGTCATGCATCTGACTGTTTGTATTGTATTGTGTATCATGGATCTTTAGTAAATTTAGTTTTGCCATTGTTTGCCATTTCCATCGACTGTTTATGAAAGTAGAACATAATCCGTAACATGTTTGTAATTGTGTCAATTTTTATTCCGTCATTAAGTAAATCATTCATAATTGACATTCAGGTACTCCAAGATACCTTTCAGTTTACATCCATTGGTAGTTTGGTTGCGATATTGCTCTCACATATTTGAATATAACCTAACCTAACCGGGAGACATGGGGTCCTAGGATGTATGGTTCCCTGAACCATATCAGGGAGAATGTTGAGGGCAATATGGTGTTTTGCCAAGACTCAAAACTGAATCAATGGAATCATAAAATTATTTAAAGCCCAAAGCACTAATCTTTGGTCATTTTTCGAACATTTTCCAAGTCACAAGAGTTGTTACTGTTGAGGAACCAATGTCCGAACTTTTTCGCTCGTGCTATTTTGACTTCGTTACCAATGACATAATTGTTATTTAAAACAAGTGGCCGAGTCTCTGTTGAATAATTGTGTGATCGTAAATACCAAAGTCCGTCTTCAATGATATTAAAGTCCAATAATTTGTATTTTAGATTGTGTTGTGACACAATTATTTCATGTAAATATGTCTGATCATTAGACCCATCTGGTAGTTTTTTGTCGTCTGTAACATTTGAATATGTTTCCAAAAATGCATTTAGTTTGTCTATCACTTTTGTGAAAACAACTTGTGTAGCATTAGTTGGTTGTAGCAAGAGGAAGCCTCCTGCTATCCGGTTATTCCCTGAGATCTTTGCACCAACTATGTCATATTTTGACAGAGACTGAAGCAAAGGGAATGGAGAAGAAAACCACACAGCGTCGACCTCAAATAATAGGATTGTAACATTGTTTTTAAGCATCGAAAGAAGTAACATAGTCCGGGTTAACATATATCGTATATATCCTGCTTCCATGTACTCAACCTTTGTAGTAGAAAGCGAGTACATGACGGAGGTGACGTTTGGCCAATCACGTCGAAGTTTCTTCAATGCGTTTTCATCCGTGGCAATAATAAGCACTTGTTCATGAACATTCATATTGACAGTGTTACATAACCAACTGTAGGTCATTTCTAGATATGCTTCATTCACCATCGTCACAGCTACAATGCCCGTTTTAGCTTTATTACAAATCATTTTCGCCTGATCGATTAACATGGCTGATTTATTTTGTTGCATTATCTTCTTTACTGTTGACTCAAAGGCAGTCTTCCTCGTGGTATAGGCAAGCTTTTTAATATTGTTCTCGAGGAAATTAAGTACATTTTGTTTTTGCAACAGAAAATTAGACATCAATACACCGACTGTTAGTCCTATCACTGCGACCCACAACTTTTGTTTAGTGTTCATATCGATGTCGGGAAAATCTAAAACAGATCACACAGTAAAATAAGACGCTGTACAAAATTAATAATCATAGATAACACATAGATAAAAATACATGACATTGGCAAAAATGAATCGATTACTTTTTAAATGCAATAGGAATTAAAAAGAGAAATTTACCTTTGGAAGGTTTTAAATAAGTATTCAAAACATAATTATTTTATACATTATTTATGAAAGAAAACGCTAAACTAACTTTCCCGTGGCAATATATCTTAATATCTATTCCTTTATGTTTTTAGGTTTTGACTCGCTATCAAATGTACATATTTTCTCCTCGTAGAATTACAAATATTATGTTTAAAAAACTAATTTTTACAATCAAGCTTAAAGGGTTCCGATTGGCATCCCGTATAAAAACAATATGGCGGCTCCAGGCGAATCAACTGGATCAGTCCATTTTTAAGAAATAAGGGGAGTTCTGTAAAATAAAATCCAGTTTATTGAAATTGTCTTTGAGATAAAGTAATCTGTTTATAATGATTTTGAAAACGTTATCCAAAGAGTGATTGCGTTCAAATAATACATGTACAACAGCCAATATAGATTCTTGTATTAGAAACCGGTTTGTCTTGATATTTCATATGCCAAGCTGTGTGCTATTACCTTATGGGGAAATGTAGATGCCAATTTTTCCTTATTATACACAAATAGAAGATCCTGAAACTTCACCCATAAATGTGGAATTGATTTGTCAAAATAAAAATCACCCTTTTATAAATGTGTGACGATCTATAATATACTTATGCTATATAACAGTTAGAGGTGTTGATACAACGACCTCGAACCTGTGAACCCTTGAGTATTATTCCGGGATCGTGCCTTTTATACTAAGCGGTGAGCAACACCAGAAACGAGCGTTCGATTTGCTAAACGATATGCGTCACCCTTTAATGGAAAAATGAGTTTAATTTTTATTATTTTCAAATATAGCAGCGCAATTTCCATGATATAAGCTGGAATCGTATAAACAGTGGTTATATGAATTGTTTGAAGTAAATATACCTTTCTATTTAAATAAAAAGTGATAAATATTCATAGTTGTACCTTTCTATTTTTACTGGATTTTAAAAAAATACTAGCTTACCAAAATTATATTTCTATCCCATGTTATTACTACTTCCCGCTGAATAACACTCAGGAATAGTATTGATATTGAAAAAATCCCGTCCCATCCATTACCGCTCAAGAAAATCGTATTCACCTCACAATCCCGCTCAAGAAAATGGTATCCACTTCCTAGGAATTTTTTCCAAGCAAAGCTTCCTATTACGTTCAGTTAGGTCGACATAGCGTCGCAAAATCAGGCCTCCTAGGCTTCCATCAATGCGAACATCAGTTCTTACCTCGCGAACTACGTTCCTTGCGCTCGAACCACGATTCTCACGTCGCGAATGTGCAATCTTATGTCGCGCACCACCATTTCCTCTTTCACGAACATATTTCTCCACTCACGAACAGAGATCCGTGCTCGCGAACCACACACGTGGTCGAAAAGTCCGTAATTGTATTTGCATTATTACGCATAACTAAGATTCCAACGAAATGTTTTTATTTGGATTTCGGAAGGAAAATTTTCCGAGTTTTTGATGCATGTTTAATGAATATCCACTTATTAAGGAATAAATAATGATAGGTCATTCGATATGGTGAAATTCAGCACTAGTTGGACGGAGTGTCGTAAAAAGCACGAACCCGAGGTGAATGCATTTGTACTCACATTAGACGGGTAGGAAGGAGGGGTTTCCATGCACCACAAATATGTATTTTTTTAATGTACAGTAAACTGATAAAATATTAGTGATGTTTATATTGATATCTATTTTCATTATTATTAATAAAAGTTTCATGAAAATATACATTTGTAGTAAATTCTTTTTACATAGATCATCTTTGTACTTCCTGGCAGATAATCGAACATGGGTTCAATACAGTGCCTTTGGTCCCTTGGGAAACAACAAATTCATCGCTCGGTATTTCGACAAATATTCAATCCCTCCCAATGAATAACCTCTCTACAAATAAAAATAATAGTAATAATAATTATATATTATATCACCACTTACATGTACGTTTCTTAAGATACATGACAACATTGCCTTTTATTTTATATTCGCTTTTTTATAACGCCGCTATGTCATTTGAAAATATATCTTTACCCTAGAAAAAATGTAACAATGCGGTTGCTGGCTCAATTTGTTTGTATTCATCTTTCATAAATAATAAGATCGCATGTACACAGATAATTACAAAATACATATATTCATCAAGTTCGTGCAAAAGTACTCTAACATTTTTGTTTCTCAGACTATCTGGCTGAAATTTTTACTCAGTATACCTATACTATTCATACATTTGAATCTTAAGGTATAATGAATAGATCCTTGAGGAAAAAAGATATAGTTTTTTAAGTAACATGAGTCCAGGGGACGCGGAGCAGGCAAAAAAGGATTTTATTTATTATTACATGGCGGAACTCATTTTGGAAGTTGCTGGCGATTGATCGCTGTATGTACTTGGTTCACATTTTAGATTAAGTTAACACACGCACATAATAACAACTGCTGACATCACTCAGAGGGGGAAGATGGTAATTGCAAGGCAATTGCAAGTATGTCATAAGTTCTCCTAAGGTCGAATGACGAATTCCCCAAAGATAATTTCTCACCAATGTCATTTGAAAGAATATATTTATGCATGAAGATCCAAAGTACCCTGGCTGCTATATTTATCATTATGATAAAACCCCAGTCACACCTCAAACCTTGTCAAAGATACTATCTCTAACAAATTGAAGATGGATCGACAAGATCAAGAATCGAAGTTTTCCATTTGACGAACAATTGGGAAATAACGACAAATGTCTCGTTAAAGAGTAGGCAACCCTTGCTCCACTAGATATCGGTCTTTGATCAGAATAAATTCAACTCCAAGAGAAATGTGGGCGTTCATAATAGCAATGTTCCTTAACATTAAATTATCGTTAGCGTACTTAGCGTAATCCTTATGCGTAGGGAAACCTGCTAGTTTGTGGAAACGAACCATGTAGTCAACGTCTGATACCAAAAATGATTTGTATTCTTCGATTCTATGTATGCTTCAACATCTAGATCATCTACAAGTAGATGTATTCTCTCTACACACGGATGTTTCACATTCCACGCGAGCGTGCGAACGAATTCCATTTGACGGCTTTCATATTGTTTCAAAAAATGTTCACAAATCCATGTGAGTTTATATCACGCAAGGATATCAAAACGGAAAATGTAGTGATAATGTTCAGCATCGCGTCACATTTTTCGTTTTGAAATTTTCTTAGAATTTCACTCGATAGCGTCTCACCCTTTTCTTGGATTGCGTAATTCTTTCTTCGTGTGTCCGTTTTCGATTGCCAAATCGCATCACATTTCTCGTTTTGAATTTTTCTTCCACTTTCTATTGATAGCGCCTTTCGTTTCTTATGAATTGCGTAATTCCGTCTTTGTGTTCCTGTTTTTGAGACCCAAATTACCACTAGGCTAATTGAGAAAATCACCAGTAAAAGGATACATTTATTAAGCCTATCGGTTTGCATTTTGTTTAGGCGGAGAATATATTTTAAATGTTTTGAGTACTTACTTAGTTTGTTACTCTCTGTTTCTCGTTTTCGCAATGATTAATGTTTGTCGACTATCTCGACTGCAAATATTTACTTATAATTTACGTTTAGTTACTGAGTAACCGAAATGAAGAAGTGGAGAAGCAGATGACAGGACTTGCGTACATTGTGGCAAGTGTTAATTTCTGTGATCATTAATTACATATTACAATTGGCTTATTAATGGAATTGTAGCCTACTTTGAATCAAAAGGAGTTGTTTAGCTAATCCCATCAGGGAATTGTTTAAAAATCAAATTATTTTCAATCGAACACTTGGGTGCTATATTGTGATCAGTTTGCCGGACGGATTGATGGATGGGCGGTCTGCTGGGCACGCGGGACAGGCTTGCCGATAAATACAGGTTTCCAGCCAAACCATACCAGGGATACACTTGAAATTTTCAGGGATGTGTCTACATATGGAAGTTAAGAACTGATTACGTTTTGGGCTTCCTGGACGGCCTTTTTGCATTTTCCTTTCTCAAATATTTTCTGTAGAGGTTTGTCTACAAGTTTCCAGCCAAACCGTTTCAAGGATTCATATGAAATTTTTAGGGATGTATGTTTTCACGTTTGAACGTTTAGACCTGATTCGTATTTGGACATTCTGGGTAAATGTTAAGGAGGCGGTTATGGATTGTTTGTCCCGAAAACGAGTAATCTATCCAAGGGTGTGATACTGTTCACTCTGTGCCTTCATCTATTTTATTAGCATGATTAATAAGGAAGATGATAACATTATGAAGAATATATTTTTCAAGATACCAGCTGATAGTTACCCGATAGATAAGCATATCCACCACTTATCAGGGACATGAGTATAAGATTCCAAACACTTGTAAACGAAATCTAATAACTACAGATTGCATAAAATAAATTATACTATTGACAGCGCAATATCAGGTATATAATAGCAAGTGATAAATCACAGATATTTTGGACAGGGATGATTTCAGGGTTAGAGGGGTGATATTGATACCATCCCGAGTAAATCCCAAATTTTAATTTTTTCCAAAAGTTGAATTTTTCAAATATTTTTTATTTTTTGATTGAAATAATCTTACATCTTTAATTTTTTAAGTAATATGTTTTTCTTGCCTTTAAATTATCAATTTACTTCAGAATGGGATAATATGCA